ATTCAGTCCGATCAGCACACAGTCGTTATCTTAGTGGATATAGTGTTATAATTGCACTGGGGTTGGTATTGTTGCTAAATACCTGAGTACCCTACCCTTACACTACCACAACAATCAGTGCCCATACCTATAATTTCAGTGTATTATTGAATAAATACTTTGCCCTATGTGTGCTGCAAGGTTAACATTATTTGGTTCATAAAAAAATCAAATACATTCAGCAAAATATAGTCTGAAAGAACAATAATAACAATTACTTGTTCTCATTCATATTGCACCTTTAATGTAAAAAAAATGAAAGTGAATAAACTTACAATTCCATGGTTTTGCAGCATATCAATGTCTTGGAAAAAGGATTCCTAAAAAAAGTTCAAAAAACCCAAATCTTAATTAATATATACTAGATATCAATAATCATAATTGAATCATAGATCATAGCAATACGAGTACACTTTCACAATTGAAAAGAATGTATTTGCATAAATGAATAAATTTGAATAAGCACTAATAACCACAGTGTTCTGTGTATGCCTAATATACAGGTGGGAACATAAACAGATAAGCCTATAAAATAAATCATGCCCCAAATATTTTAAGAATTGTTTTACCAGACAATTTTAAAAAGAGATTATTTTCACCAAACAACATATTCAAGTATAATATATAAATAACTTAGAATGTAGTCTTGGAAGAAGAAAATGTACTGTGAACTGCACAATATACTACTAAGAGTCAAGCAATATTTATATACTAAATAACCAATTATTCAAATGGACTTTTTTTTGCTCATTTTAAAATGGAGGACTGGACTATTATAGAAAAAAAAAATTATGACTCCATAATGTACAGGAATTGGGAAACAATGTCTGGCTAATATGAATATAACTATAAAATATATATGAATATAAAATATCCCCCCCCCCTGTGAAGTCGAATGTGAAACCCCTTTTCGATAATATATTTCATTTTGAACTGTTAGTGTTTACAATAGTAAAAAAAATGGTAATACCTCTTCTTCTTCTCCATTTAGTTGTACTTCTTCTTCAACAACTTGATCTTCCATTGTTTTTGACAAATTTGATGTTAAACGTTAAATTTCTTTGAATAGTTTGGCAAGTGCACTTGGCGATGACAATTTTGACGTAACCAGTATTGCGACCTTAAAAGTGACGACAAATTAAAACAAAAAGCGTTTGGTGAAACAAAGTTGTGGCAAATCACGATAAATAATATTAATTGTTCCTACAATACGGCGAGTTACTATTATTTCATCAAACTACCACCTCTGTATCACGTCGCTTCTTGATCACATTTATATTTCTCTCACCAAAATCATGAGCCATTATTTTTATACCCGGTAACATTGAATAAGTGAATAAGCAAAAGTTTAAAATATAAAAATTCAACTCACCTTGTTTCTGTTATCAACACCGAGTTTGAAAGAATTAGTCTAAATAAACTGTAGTGTCAAACTCCTTGTAGATTGTGAATAATCAACATTTGTTTTTGGCGCGATTTTTGAAGCAGACGACTATGCGAAAGGATTAAATTTTACAGTACTCTGCTGTAATCTCTGATCTCATACCGGTAATACTTGTTTTGTTTCTAAATAATACCCGGAGTGATACTGTGTTTAGAGCGTATTCTAGTATCAGAAATGAAACTACAAAGCATACAATGACATGGCAGTGAAAACTACGTAACTTCATCTAACAATATCTGACGCAGACCTGACGACAAGCTATGACCTCTGACCCAAACCTTTGACCGATGAAAAGCCAGAACGAGGCAAGTAATACACGTGTTTATCAAGCTGAAAGTCCTCCGTGAAGCTATCCGCCGAGAGGACCAAACATTCCCTTTCAACTCAAATCAACGACATAAAAGTAATTGATAATGGTAAGCTTATCACTTATGTACAATTTAGGATGGATTGTGCTTGATCTTCTCTCTCACAAACCGTCTTTTAAGGGTAAATCAATGAGATGATATTTGTCTGAGAGAGAGAAAAACATGGCGCCAGGCCTCAAAACGAAAAGGGCCGTTGTTCTTCTAGTCCGTGTTTAGTGGCAGTCAACCCACTGTCGACAATTAACCATAACTATTAACTTTGACGTCAAAACAACACTGTTCGCGGAGAAGAGGGTTGCAGTAGTGTTTTTTTTACAGTACAACTAAAGTGCAGCATGTCCATGATTGGTGGAAGGGATTAGCTTTTGTATGGCCATGAAGGTGAATTGCCCAATATAATATGCATCGAATATGTGTTGTTACACCATCAGTAATTGCTAGTATTACCCATTTCTCCGTGGTCAGGCACTGAGCATTGTTACTTTTCTGCAATTTCGGTACAAAAATCGACAGAAAGAATCTTGAATTTTTTTGAACAAAATAAGCTTGTTTTCGATTGAAAAGAATGGTTATATAAAAAGGAAACTAAATAGAGCCTAATTTGGTGTTTGTATTTATCAAGTTATGTAAATTGATTATAAATTTGAAAAAAAAAAATTAAAAAAATGATTATCTTCAGAGTTATGATGATTTAAATATGAGAAACCATAAACCTGCGAAGGACTGCGCCATCTTGCTATAAAAAACTCCCTCATGAGGTATAAACAGGAAAGGTAATAAAGCATGATGACGAAATAGTATCTGATTAAATATAAACAACTTAGAGAGCCATAGTTGGCTGGACTGGTGAATTGACTTCTAGTCTAGGTTGTTTCAACTTTTACGTTAATGTTATTTACAAGCGTATCAACATACAAACATTATGGATGTGCGATTGATCGAGACAGGCATTTTGTTTTTTGTTGTCTAACTGTCTAATAAAAGCTGTTTCCAGTACTGCACTGTGCTTGCAAATTATTTCAAAGTCTGGATGCTGAAGTATCGATCCATTTTTGGCTTTTCGAAAGCTACTACTCAAAGAAATATGGATTACTCCAGAATTGCAACATCGGGGTTCATCCTGAGTAACTGACAGAATAGAAAGGATGCAGGGTTCTCCCCAGAAAAAATGCATAGCGCCGGGGCTAATTTGCATAATAATTTGCATATCATTTACATATCTTTCCTTCATTGATTAACAGAACTTATTTACAATTATGAATATTAGTGAGCTCAGTCACAGGGCAAATATTTTTTTTAATGGAATCAACACATTATGTTTCACAATTTAGAAGAGTTTGAAACATTCTCGAAATACAAATACTGCAGACTAAAAACAAACACAAATACATTATTGTTGCAATTTAATTGTTTTGTAAAACGTTGAAGGAAACGCATTCAAAACGTTAAGCCAGACTTATGTTCACGAATCTCATAATTTTATTCACTCCAAAAACATTCTCCTTCAAAAAATCGATCACGTAATTAATTGACGTATTGTTGTAATTTATTATTCGTACCATCAACTTCTAAAACGTTTACAATTACAGTAATGAGCGAACAAATAAAGCTTCAAAACGATCATCAAAGTTACGACGTGACATAACTTACTTGGCCATGTTATACACCAGTTATAGCAATAATTCCTCAACAAATTTTACTTCTTTTTTTTTTTGATATGAAATGTAAGTAAA